CATTTAATAACTTTACCGACAGTGGTAAGTAATTACAAAAGTACAATTAAATAGAATGTGTAATAATTTTGGTAGGTAACACAACATTTTGGACATCTACAAGTACTGCAACACCTGATAATATAACCGTTACAACGCCATTTAATAACTTTACCGGCAGTAGTAAGGAATTACAAAAGTACAATTAAATTCAAGATGTAACAATTTTTTCACAGGTAATACAACAATTTGGACAACTACAAGTACAGTAACACCCGATAACGTAACTCTTACAACTCCATTTAGTAACTTTACACAAAGTGGTGAGCTATTAGATAATGAAATAAAACATTAAGTATATGTTTTTTAATTTCTGTAGATAATACAACAGTTTGGCCAATAACAAATACAACATCGTTTCACAACGTAACTCTTACAACTCCAGCTGGTAACTTTACTAATAGTGGCTCATAATTCTAAAAAGACTATTTATGTACAATAAAAGTAAATAAAAAATATTACAAAATCAGACAGGGTTCTTCCTCCTCCAAATCTATTTACTCTGACTGCAAATGCTTTATAATGAAAAAATCAAAGACATAAAACTTTTTAATTAAAAAATTTTAATAAACATTAATATTTCATTTCTGTTTCATTGACAAACTCGACAGCCTTTCTCACTTGCAAAAATATTAATAAATGTTGATGCTAAAAATAGAGAGCTATAAATAATCGCTCTAAAAAGTGAATTGTTTCACCTAATCATAAAATTCAAAAAGACATAATGCAATGATAAAAATATTTATTGATAATTTTTTATTAATTCTTGTAATTATGTAAAAAAACATGTGATTTTTTTTTATAAAAATGCAAACTAGTATGCATAAACTAAATCCAAGTTTATTTATTTTTTGCCTCTACTTAACACGAAACATCGCTTATTAACATCTGGTGTCCTCATTTTACCTAAATTATGCAATGTAAATAAATTTGGCCAATGATGTACACGAGAGGTTTCTAAAAAAAGAAGGAATTACAGATAAATTCCGTTCCCATTTTTAAAAGCAAACCGAAGACAAAGTAATAAAAATGAAAGAGTCAAAGTTGAATCAACAGAAGTTGTATAAAAGCGCCTTTTATCTGAGATGAAATCCAGCCTTCGCTCAACTTCTTTACTATAAATACCGAACCTGAATATCAAACATTCTAAATTATTAACGTGAAATGGAGGAATCCTTTCGCAGAAAATCCCAAAGCTCAAATCTAAATATAACGCAAACTCGTGTCAATTAGCGTCGACTCTTCGCAAAATAAATAAATCCATTTTTATCTCAGGAACGCTTGAAGCATCTCATATGTGAAAGATCGGATTAAAACAAACACCACCCCCGTTAAAAAAGCATCGTTGACGATGATTGTTTCTAGTTCGGTGTGCTTTGGCCATAAATCATTTCTATTTATACCGACTGACAGATCCATTTAATGATATTGCAGAGTTGTCCACTCGATTTCGGCGATTAATCACGACTCCCGCTTACATATTTTTAATTGGAGTAGATGAGAGATTTTTAAGCTAAGCTCCCGCTAAGTAGTTTCTAGTTAGTAGTGGCGGTGTTCCCCGAGCGGAAGAATGCACGGGAGAGTGCTTTCAGTTTTGTTTTTAGTTTCCGCTGAAATTGCGGCCTTTCAGCAGCCTGAAAATGCCCGGTTTCGGCGAGCTAGGGTCAGACACGAGGCGCGCAATGCCTCCATGGTAAGACATCCACAAATTGGGGATTTTTATCGATCAGAAATTCATTAGTCCAAGTCACTTTTCCTTTTGTTGCGATTGTGAAGGTCGAGGAATACGATCTAACAATGAGCTATTTTTGGACCGCGGCGGTGATGTCAGATATTAGCAAACACATTTTTAAATAACCGGGAGATAAGAGGACCTCTTGACATGTTCTGCATGATTTATGCTGGAAAAACCGCTGATAAAGTCGAGGAAAGCCGAAGTGATATGATCAGTTTTTACAAAAATAAAAATATATTTAAAAAATTAACCCAAAAGTAAAAAAAAAATTCTATTTTGCGTCTGAAAGAAAGTTTATTTCGATACCAAAACCAGTTTGGGTGCTGAAATAGACTAGTACAATTTACTTTCTAGAGGTTGGTAATGGTGATTTTCAGCCGCGTTTTGAGCGAATTCTCTTTTTTCGTGGGGTGTGCATTTGCAGTATTCATTGTTAATTCAACAAAATTTTAAAAATACTTCAGGCTTGACACGTCAAAAATCGAACTTTCAAACTTTGTGACATTTATTACCCACCAACCACAACTTTATTACATCAAAAGTTCCCAAATTCTAAAAAAATTGACTTTTATGTGTATAAAAAGCTCGTTTTATAAGTCATTTGTGGAAACTCGTTTCATAAACCTGAATTTGTTCCCCAGAACTTGCGTTATAATACGCAATATACTATAAGTTTTCAAAATTTATTAAAAGCTATCACCACAAATATAGCTTAGTTGTCGGTCAAAGATTTTATAAATTTTAAAAACTTAAATTGTAAGCAAAAATCTTCTTTTC